TTCTTTGTTTGATGTCATCTTATAAAATTTTGTTGTCAATGTGGTACAAAAATGATGGACCAATTCAGTTATTACACGTATGCAAATTCATGACATTTCTTTCTTTGAAAACATTGATTTTAATTTAAACACCTCAATTTGTTTCTTTTCTTCTTTTTTTTTTTCAGTTCTTTCCATTAAATGTTACACATTTGCTATGTGAATTGTTTAACTTTTCTGTTGACTAAATTTAATGGTGGAAATCACACTCCAACTGAAAAACGATATTATCAACTGAACTTTTTTAAAATTTAAATTGTTATTTGTTTGAAATTTATACATAAATTATCATTATCTAATTTTTAAAAATGTAATTTTGCAGTATCAAAAATTAATCGTCATAATATTTATTTCTGTACATATATATCTCAAAGAAAAAAATTATCAGGCGGATCAGCACCCAATCACTCTTGGTCTGCAGTGTAAGGGATCAACCTTAACGATAAGAATGGTAACCACAACCAGAGAGATCAATCTCCTGACTTGTGGAAGGATGAAGTACTAATGGAGGGATCAATCTTCTGATTTAGTATATAGGACTACAAGCGGACGGATCAGCGTCCAAACTTGCATTGAGTAAGAAAAAAGGATAAAAGGTTAATGGATAGTGTAAAATAAGAAGAGCAGATTGATGAGAACAAAAAGCGTATATGAGGTATATACTGATCATCTGTGTGGTGGTCTACATCCTGAAGGGGTGGAGATCCTAAGACCAAACAACATTGAGACAGGACTGCAGTATTCATTCTCCCAAAACTAAACAGTCTATCAAGAGCTGTTACAATAACAGTTATTTTTAAGGTTTGATCAGTATATGTTATCACCATTAAACTTTATTAATAAAAAGTATGTACAATTTATATACATATTTCAATTTACAATGTGAGTATTTTATCATATAACAATAAGAAATAAAAATGCAATTTTTAAGGTACATTGCACGAGCGAGCTTGTATGGCACTGCCAAGTAGCGGGTAGGTGAACTAGTTGTCTCATGCAGTAATTGGCGGGAACCTGCTGCCATTATAAGATATTGTAAAAAAAGTTGGCCATTGGTAGAGTTAAAATTACTCTTAGGGTGAATGAACCAGTTATGGACAGGGGCCCAGTGATGGACAAGTTGGACTTTAAATGTAAATAATAAGACTCCTTGTTGATTTAAAGGTTCCAGTGTTTTCTAGATTGAAGAACAATGCCCTCTATTGACAAGTGTATGAACATAATTCCCAAAAGAAAATTTTAAAATGTCTTAAATTGTTTTTTCTATAGTGCTCTTGAGATCATTCAGTGTGTTTCATACCTTCCTACTAACAGTTTTGCTAAGAGTACGTTGAACATTTATCTTATCTTATCTTTATAGTTAAATAAAAATTTAGAATTTTTCTGAGGTATGTCTATTATTGGTACCAACTCCCTGTCCATTACTGGAACAATTGCAGTTTGGGTTGTCCATCACTAGTGCAAAAAGGTGTTGTTTTTTTAAAATGAAAATTATACATGCATAACTGAATATTTTTTCAATTTCAAAATGCTAAATAGAAAAAAGAGACCCTGGAGATTCTAAATGTCCACTGGAGAAGTTTATAACTATAATAATTACGGTGTCATAAGCCAAAAAATTTCCTTAGCTATATCCATCACTGGTGCACTTACCACACTCCTCCTATTACCACACTCTTTCTTTTTTTTTGCCAGAAAAGTTTCGTGGCAATTGGATGAGTGGTGTAATTAGAGTAATGCATAAAGGATATACATACATTTGTTTATATATATTGTTTGATCACGGTAATTTGGTGTGAGCCAAATATTACCCATTGATCTGTAATTGAGTTATATTGGGCTGATGATTGTGAAAATCGGTGTGGACTGTGTATTAGGTTGGATCACTGAAATTTGATACATGATCAAATTAAACAAAAGATTGAGAACATGATTATATTGCATATAATTGAATAAAACAAAACAAATAAAATTTGTACCTTTGTACAATTTTGTGGTTCTTGGCCTATGAAGTATGTATTACTGATTGTGAAATTACAATTTTTGGTATGGCATTGTAATGTTAGAAGTGAATTTGCTTTGATTGAAATTGAATTATCAATTTGGACTCACTTGCTGTCTGAAATTGAGCTTCATGGTTTTGGCCACCTCTTCTCCCTCCCCATACTTCCTCCACCAGGCTGTTCTCTTGCGTTTAGTAACTTATTTTCTTTCTTTCTTTGTGTTTTCTGGAGAAAAGTAACCATCAGTGTGCACACTTCACCAATGAATAGGATTAACTCAACAAGAATAGGTAGCAGCAAAATGGGAGGCCATAACATGGTGGTGAAGTTCTAAATTGTTTTCATTTGTTTTGTTTTTTGTGTTTCAGAGGTTGATCTCTTAACATATTGTTTATATATTTTATTTTTTACCACATTTTTTTTTTCCAGAAACTTTCACGGGCGTGTACTCAACAACTTACCTAAGTTTCATGACAATTGGATGAATGGTGAAGTAACTCACAAAGGACAAATAGACTGACATACATTTGTTTTTATATGTATAGATTACTCTTTGCCTCTTATTCAGACACTTTTCTTTTTTTTTGTCAGAAACCTTTGTGGAAGTGTACTCAACAACTTTCTAAAGTTTCATAGCGATTGGATGAATGTAGTAATGCATAAAGGATAAACAGACAGACATTCGTCTTTATATATAAAGATCAATGTTTCAAAGAAACAACATATTCTTTATAAATAAATGAATAAAAGGTTTGTAATTTTTTTGTTTTCTGAAATACTTCGAAGAGTCAGAAATTCACATTTAGGATGGAAGAACATCTTGATCATAACTACAGAGACAGCAGGAGAGGTAGAGTGGATGACACTTATCCTGAATATATGGACAATGCAATCGGGAAAGACGAGGTGGAGTTGTCAGTCAACAAAATCCAGCTAGGAAAAGCTTCAGGTCCAGATAGTATAGTTCCGGAATTTATAAAATATGGAGGCAATGAAATTATTAAATGCCTTATAACGCGGTTCCAGAAGATTTGGGACTTTAAGTTGCTGCCATGAGATTAATCAACATCATAATCCCAATTCACAAGAAAGGTAACCAAAGCAAATTTGGTAACAATAGGCCTATCCTCAGTAGTGTACAAAATATATATGAGGATATTAGAGCAGCAACTGCAGGGTTTTGTGGAACAAGATATTGAAGCACAGCAAGTGGCTTTCAGACATGGAAGACAGACCGAAGGCCATATATTTTCCTTGAGAATGATAGTAGAGAAAGCGTGGGACCAAGGAAAGACAATCTACTTGGCATTCCTGGATCTGAGGGCAGCTTTTGACTCAGTCCAGAGGAAGGAGATATGGGACACACTAATAACAAGAAGAGTGCCAGAAAACTTGGTGAGTGCAATTAAATCGGTGTACAAAGGGCATTGTAAGACTTAATGGTCAGACACTGCAGCCTTTCCACTTTTATAAGGGAGTAAAACAGGGAGACAGCCTAAGCCCACTACTACTTGACCTCCTTATGGATGAAATATAGAAGGTGTGCAAAAGGAGATGTCAAAGAGCAATAGTAGGTTTTTGAAACCTAAATCCTGTACTGCCTCAAGCGCTGATATATGCGGATGATATCATACTGATAGCTGACTATTAAGAGGCTCTTCAGACATTCTTGGATGAATGGAATGAGGAACTGAAGATAAGAGGTTTACAAATAAACCCTAAAAAAAGCAAAATCAGCAGAGTTGGAAGAGAAAAACAGACCCTAGGATTTTGTGTAATTGTGAACCCCTAGAACTTAGAATACTTATATGTATCTAGGGACCATAATAAGTAAAGATGGTAAAATAAACCAGGAGGTCCTAAATCGAGTGAAGTAGGCCAATGGATTGTACCATCAGATTTCCAAAACTATTATAGGTAAGCAAGAAAAAAAGTGGATGCCAAAATACGGATATTTAAATCCGTGTTCCTCCCAGTTCTCCTGTATGGATCAGAAAGCTGGACAACCCTCGACAAGCACATAAGGAGGATAAAATTAGCAGAAATGAAATTCCTCCGAAGAATAGTTGTTAAGACGAGGAGGGAATGCGTCAGAAATAAAAAAATTTGGGAGGATCTGGGTGTTAAATCAGTGCTTGAAAACATGCAAGAGCGGCAACTAAAATGGTATGGACACATCTGTGGAATGGACGATGCCAGAAAAACCAGGTTGTTTTTGGAAGCGAGGCCAGAAGGAAGACCCAGGTGCATGTGCTCTGATTACATTGGAAAACTGGGGGTAGCAAGAGGACGCATCATCTTTGAGATCAGAAGACTAGCCAGGGACAGGGACCAGTGGGCTAGATGGACTGAGACTGCAACTCCACGCTTGACAGCACACAGGAGTTAGAGGAAGAAGAAGAAGAAGAAATTTATATCAAATTAATTAGTATTGAATTGAAGCTTCTTAGACAAAGAAGTCTTTCTGAAAGTGGGAACTATAATCTGGTAGGAGAATAATAATAAAAAATATTCCATGATTTTATGAAATAAAAGAACATAGCTTAATTCAGCCACGTTAAAGTTTAATTCTATTTTCATTTTGTGAAAAAATTGTCTTGTTTACTAAACTGCTATTGCCAATTATTTAAATAATCTACTCAAATAGTATTTTAATTATCACTTGCTATTCAACAAAAATACATGGCATACTTTAAAAAATAAAAATAAAAAAAATCCTGCTTTTCTGTGTCCTACAACATATTTCAAAATTTTTGCAATAATTGTTTCGGGATCCACTTTATTATCCCATCTTCAGACCAATCATCATCTTTCCATCATCTAATTTATTAAAAGACTTGTCATAAATTGTATTATTATAAATTATCTCTTAAATATATAATGGACTCTTCTCTAGGGAAAACCTAGTCAGACACTCCTAGCTTCTACTGATCCTGATTTCTCCTGTACAATACTCACTATTTTCCTTCTAGTGTTAGATTTTTCACCAGCTTTGTTATAAGACATATACACATTTATTTTGTCTCCAGGTTCATGAACACATTCCATAACACTGTCTCCACCCTGGAAAATTAAAACAGTTAGTGAGTGATGTATATCAAAATTGTTGAAAACAAATTAAAATATTGGAAAAATAGCATGATTAATAAGTTGTTAAAATAGTGTTCTGTTTAATGCCTAATAGTAAAAGAATTATTGTATACTACATATCTTATTTAAAAACTCCTAACTATTTTTTTCTACTAGTAAAATTAATGAAAAATGCACTTATTATGTTCTAGTAGTTGTAATTAAAAACCAAAAAAGTCCCCGTGAGTTTTCAAAGTACTTTTTAGCTCAAAAAACTACCAATAGATAATAAATGCATCCAACTTCCGGATCCACTAAAAACTTTATTTTAGATAAAAAATTAATTAAGAGTTTGAATGCATGTGCAGGAGGAGAAATATGATTAAGTCCATGATATTAGAAAACAGGTAGTATAAAATTATTTATTAGTATATTGGTGAAACTTGGTGAAGAGAAGTGCAAAACAATAATATTTGTGGTTAATTACAATCCAACAGAGTGTAACTGAACAGTACAAACTGTGATTAACTGCAATTATTTCTTTAGGAAAAACCCGTAGAATCAAATTTGTAGAGTACAAATTTTGCATCCATTGAGTTCTAACATTTTGTAGGTTAAGAGGTCATTAGTTTCTTGCTTTCTTCTGAAGTAATTATCCTAATATATACATAAAAAAAAATCTGTCGGGCTGAAGACTCTCCAAAATTAAATCCTGGATCCGTTAGTGCTTAGAATAACATAAACTTTCGTAATTTAATTGCTCCTGAATTCATAAAATATGAAAGGAAAAGTATAATAGCAGTACTTCAAGCCCTATTTCAAAAAGTTTATGAAGAGAAAAGGATACCCAAGGATTGGGAATATAATATTATTATACCATATTCAAGAAAGGGTGTCAGAGCAAATGCCAAAACTATAGGCCTATCTGTTTATCTCAAGTTGTGTATAAATTATATACATTGATTCTTGAGAAGAGATTGAGAGACTTGGCAGAAAATCAATTGAAAGAAGAGCAGGCAGCTTCCAGGCCATCAAGACAAACCCAATACCATATCTTTTCTCTGAGGACAATTATAGAAAAAGCGTAGAAACGTGACAAAAATAAGTATTTGGCCTTTACAGATATAAAAGAAGCTTTTGATTCAGTCCCAAGGTAAGAAACATGGAATGCACTGAAAAAGAAGAACATCCCAGGAGACCTTATCCAAGCAATACAATCGACATATAAAGATTCTAAAGGTATAGTGAGGATCAATGGAAAGTTAAACAGCTTTAAAATGGATAAAGGGGTCAAACAAGGCGACAGTCTCAGCCCCCTATTATATATTGTGTTTATGGATGAGATTCTAAAAAGCTGCTAACATAGAACTAGAAGAGCAATAGGAAAATGGAATATGAGAACAATACTAGCCCAAGCTCTTGTATACGCAGATGATATTATCCTCATAGCAGACTCGGCAGTAAAATTACAACAAGCAATTGTCGAATGGGAAGCTGAGTTTGAAAGAAAAGGTATGGTCATAAGTGCATGCTATTATTTTAAATTTGAAAAAGAAGTTTATTAATTTATGTATAATTTTAAGTTCTATTTGTTGATATCAATGACGAGTTTACTTTTTTTTTTTTTTAAGATATACCATGTGTTATTCTATTGTTTCAAAATTTTAGGTTTCTTTTTTCTTTTTGCGAATTTCAATTAATTTTTTTTTTTTAGGAAAGAGATGGTCTGGGGTGGCAGTTATAAAAAACTTAAAATAGTGAAAAACTATTTTATTTTAAGCCAACATTTCATCCCAACTTTGCTGGGATTCATCAGGGGTATGATTAGGATGAAGTTCCATGCTAAATTCTGAAAACTTATACTATTATAAGTTTTTTTATGACCACCACCCTGGGGACCATCTATTTCCTTAAAAGAAAATTTAATTCAAATTCACCAGCCATAGAGGTACTTACTACATCTGTAAGTGACAAAATTAACGATAACACATCAACCAATAAAAATAACAACTCCCAACAGAATAACATTCCACAGCACATTCGTATCTTATTAAGGGAAAAACTCAGAGCAAGATAGAAGTGGCATAGGACTAGATACCCATCAGACAAGTCATATTACAACAAGTTAACTAACCAACTAAAAGCTGAAATTAGAAAATCCAAAATCCAAAATTTACTTAACTTAACAGAAAATCTTACAACTACTGATAAATCACTATGACTGACCACTAAAAAGCTCTTATAATTCAAAGATTTTAACCACCCACTTATTACTGAAACCCAAACCTGGTCCAGATCTGATGAAGAAAAAGGATTGCACAGCACCTCTTCAAAACATTTAATCCACACTCAGATATCCTAAATCCAATCCACCTTGAGTGTATTGAAGCAGAACTCGATATCCCATTCCAATTGACCCTTCCACCTAAAGCATTTCATCCTTCAGAAATATCCAATATCATACACAGATTACCTTCCCACAAAGCTCCTGGCCATGACCTAATTACATCCCAGATCCTAAAACTGCTTCCTCAGAAAGCCGAAGTATTCCTCACTTGTATATATATAATGATGTACTCCGAACCACATATTTTCCTGATTCATGGAAACTATCCATTGTCAAAATGATACCCAAACCCACAAAGCCGCCAGAATACCCATCCTCTTACTGTCCTATCTCTCTTTTACTCATTATGGGCAAAATCTTAGAAAAACTCATCTTAAAACGCCTGTGTCCCATCCTAGATTCTAATAACATAATCCCAGATCACCAATTTGGATTCTGTACATCTCACTCCACTATTCAGCAATGTCATCGTGTGGTAGACGTGGTTTCCTCTGCATTGGAGCGCGGAATGTACTGCACGGGAGTCTTTCTCGAAGTTGATCAGGCGTTTGATAGAGTCTGGCAACCGGGACTGATATACAAACTCCGTGAATTCCTACCACCTGCATACTTTCTCATTATCTGTTCCTACCTTAGTGACAGATACTTCAAAGTAAATCACAAAAATGCCTGTTCATCTCTTTTTTCTCAGTTTGCTGGTGTTCCTCAAGGTAGTATTCTAGGTCCTATCCTTTACACAGTTTATACACCTAACTTTCCAACCCATCCCAACACTGTCATCACCACCTATGCCGATGACGCGTGTAACCTATTTGTGAGGCCATTTCAACAAAAATTGCTAAAAAAAATTAAATTAATTATTTGCAACTAAAGAAGTCATTATAACTTTAGAATGTCTTTGCCACGACATAAATGTACAAAAAGAGCTTCCAATTGATAATCAAATAGTGACATGTTCAGAAACGACATTACTTTCCGGTCCCTCGAATATATATATATATTGGAAAATTTAATACTATAATATACTATAGTCAACTGTTGAATATTAATTTTTTTTCTTTCTTGTTTTCCTTTTCCTGTAACATTTATTTATTTATTTATTTTTTTTGACCAATTCTCAAATTACTGGAACTATTTGAAATGTGGTAATTTTTTATTTTATTTTAGGATTTTGTTAACGCTAAAAGTATTTTTTATTTGTGGATCCGGTAATAATGTACTGAAATTTCCTCCAGCAGGAACTTTTACTATGTTTTAGAGAACCCTACTAAGATTACTATGAATGAAAACCATAAGATTTATTTATTTTAATTTATTTTTTTAATTGGCAATTTTTGGCCTTGTTACCTAGACTATATACCCCACCCTGATTTCATTTGTGCTATTCACTCAAATTTCCAACTATAATTATAGGCGGACAGGTATACACACACACACACACACACATGAATTAAACATTTTATATGAATATTGAATCAATACAAAAAACTAAAAGAAAAATTCACATTTTTTCAAAATAAGAGTTTTTTAATGATTACCATTTTATTATCTCTAGAGAGACCAGTTGCAATATAGCCATCACTCTTCCCTTTCATTTCAAAAATATAACGTGTCCCTTGAACACTGACTGTCACAAGACCTTCACAGTTTTGATTGATTATACAATTGTCTGGGTACCCAAAACAATTTTTTTCTGTTTCACAACCATCATAGATGATGTCATTATTTTTTTTAAGACTAAGGTCTGAAAGTAGCTGTTTGTTATTAGTCACATCGTATGCAACATCATGAAAACCAACACTATTTTCTGTAATAAAAAATAATTCAAATAAGATTAAATTTAAATAAATAGTAAATTTATGAAAGAGCATATAATCAGAAGATTATATTAATTTTATTTTTAAAATCTCAAAAGGCTACAGAAAAACAAAGTTGTTACAAATATACAAATAGATTTCATGGACCAACAAAGTAAATGTTTCTAGCTCAAGAATAGGTCATATAAAAGTATTTTTGACTTCTTGAACATGAAAATCACCATGAAAAAAAAATGTAATTAGCTATTGTTTCTGAGATGCAGTTATACAAGGTGTCCAGTAAGTAGAGAGCAATTTTTATAAGAGTGATAACAGACCTCAAGTTCTAAAAAGTTTCATATAAACAATGGGCCAATTTTCAGCATAAAAGTAGGAAATCCAAGTTTTGTGTTTTTTTTAAAAGTAAGTCGTGCTTTTTGTTAAATTGCTAAAGAAATATTCAATTTAAGAAATTCCAGTAATTGTACGTTTAAAATGAAGAAACTTGTTGAATGATTCAGTTATTTCCGTTAAAACATTAATATTGGGATTAGGAACATTTATTTTGGCCCTTATAAATACAGATCAATTCCTGTAATACAGATCTGGATGAAAAACACAGTTTCATAAACACTTCACTGGAAAAATATATGAAAAATCATATAGCTTATTTTAAAAGTAAAAAGTATATCTAGGCAATTATGTTTATTATAATACATCCCAGAGCATGTAAAAACGAGAAATAAAAGCTTTGAAATATATAATTATAGTTATTTTTTGCTGAAAACGGAGTACTTTTACTTGACAGAGTAAAAAATCACATAATTTTTTTTTACAGAATATGAGGTGAATCTCAAATATTTCCCTAACAAACCTCAACTTAATTAATACAAACTTAAAGCTTATTAAACAAAGAAGTTGTTCTAAAAGTGGGGTATCTTTATTATAGTTGGATGATGACAAAAAAATTCACGAATAATTTATGATTTTTTTAAAAAACAGAACTTAGTTTAGTTTAGCCGCTGTAAAGTTCTCTTTAAATGGTTTTAACAATGAAATACTTTATGTTAATTAATTAAATTGAATATTTCTTTAGCTATTCAACAAAAAGCACGACTTACTTAAAAAAATACAAAACTTGGATTTCCTACTTTTCTGCTGAATATTGGCCCATAGTTTATAGGAGCTAGTATGTAGATCTTGAGATCTGCTATCACTGCTATAAAAATTTCCCTGTTCTTACGGGACATCCTGTATAGTGACTATTTAAGAAATAATGTTAGGTATTACAAGAAATTCTGTGTTGAAGGGTTCACTGCATTTTGCGAAGATGTCAGTCTATGATTCACTTTACTAGATATTATGGTTTACACCTTATAGTGGAGACTTCCATGTTAGAGGTTAGAGCCTAAAAAAATGAGACCTTGATCAATCCAAAAACCTTCTCTCAGATGTATCCCTCCATTACATGTCAAGCTGGGATATATGAAGAACCTTGTTAAGCTATGGACTAGGTAGTAGAAGCTTTCAAGATCTTATGAGGGAAATTCTCTAGATTAAGTGATAAGGTCAATGGAGGAATCTTTGTTGGATTCACAAATTTCAAATGCTAACTTTAAGAAAATACTGATAGGAAAAGAAAAGTCAGATTGGGAAGCGTTCAAAGGTATGGTGCATGGATTTCTTGGCAAAAAGATATAAAAATCTAGTTTAAAAAAAATCCTTCTGGGTTGTGATATATTTCTAAATATACATTTTCTTACGTTGACGAACAGGAGGCATGCGAAAACAATCTTATGAAACCATCTCACTCCATTGATGCTCAATCCAGTTGTAGAAACTATTCTTAAAAGTGGAATTCCACATTTTTTCACAAATATTGACAATAATGATAATGATTTTGTACTAAAAGTAGCAAAGCAAACTTTTTTTTATTTTCCTTTAAAAAATGTTGAATAGGTCATATGCATTATGTTTTTTCTTGATCCAAATTTAGGAATAATTAGCTCATCAGGATTTGGAAACATTCTAAATTTTTTTTTGTTGGTCAGTGTTTTAATCCAGGAGTATATTGTTTGATTTTTTAATAGTAACTGTTTCTAACTTTTCATGTATTCTAGAAATGGTTACATGTATTCTATAAATAGATCCCAAACATGTTCTATCGGATTAAAGGTTAAATTTTTCAGTGGCCACTCTAGGAATGTGATGGCAAAGATTCTCAAACGATTTTTACATTAAAAATACTTCCCACAACTTTTCACTTCAAATATCTCATTTCATAAAAATTTTATATGGCCAAGACTCTTTGTATTTGTTGTTACTTAATTAGTTATAACATAACAATGTAAAATGTATAAGGTTTGGATGGTGTTTTCAATAAAAAAATTGTTCAGGAAGGAGTCCTCAGACTATATAAGTTTAAGAAACCCTGTCATAGAGGTCATCAAATACATTCTGATCTCTATATGGTCACATATTTTCATATTTCAGCAGGAACCTGTTTCCAATATCGGAACCAAATGGCATTAGGAAATTTTCCTCAAAGTATTGCAAGTTTGTTCAACACGATCACTAATTCCAAAATACACTACAGAATATTCATGATTCTCCTTTGAATGCAATCTGTGGAGTAATACCACTATAAGCATATTGTTCACATAGCCGTTTACAAAACACAGTCATCTAATAACATAAGACCTATTCTTACATCATCACTTTCAGTCCTCCAAACTCTAATTAATGTTTTATAAGCAAATTTAAGTGGATTGCTTCAGAATCATAGATAGCCATGTGAGGCAGCCTGAAAAGTCATAACCCATGGATTTACCCCACGTTGATGTTTTGTTAAGACAGAGGTATATAAATTATGGCAGCATCTGGCTCACAAGAACCTCCAATCCATTTGATTGCATGGTATATTTTTAATTTCACTTATGAAATATTTTAGTAATGGAAAGTATTGTGATTGTGACAATTTTTTAATCCAAGTTTTCAATGGAAATAGACGTTTTGAGGTCTCCTGGTTCTGAATAAGCAAGTCTTGCAAAATGGTGTGTGTGTGAACAGTCTAGCTCAAAAACAAAAAGTTATATGAAACTGAAATCACATATTTAAGGTTTGTGCACACCTAGGACAGCAAATTTTTTGTAAAAATTGAATTAATGGAAGTAGCTCTTAATATAGTTGATTTTACATTGAGGTGAAAAACACATACATTTAATCGATTAGGTAGGTGGGAAAAGCGTATAATAATTTTTACTTTCACGTCAATTTTTCCTATTTCCAATCAAAGCAAGAAGGTAAGCCCCAGATTTTTATTTTAAAAATTATTTATAAAATAAGAATCAGAGTAAATCACTTAAATACAAAGTTACTATAATTTTTATTCCATGTTTTTTTTCTCTTAGAAGACTCATTTCATAACTGCAATGTCAGTTATAGAAATATATCACAGTTTTTGACAATGCTAGTAAAAATCATGGTTTGTTGACCAAGGTTTTTGACCATGCTACTTAAAGAAATTATTAGTTTGTGGTACTAATACAACACAAAATTTAATATTTCTTATTTCTTAAACTATAAATTTTTCACTTTGATATACTATTCAGAAGTTAAAGATGAAAAAAAAAATCTAGAATTTTAACTGCAAAAAGTTCTCTGAAGGTGGCCCACATTAGCATTTTTAGTTTTTACATGTTGTATAGTGTTGACCTTAGACATTCGGTGCCCCGGAGACAATAACGTCATCTCCCTCCCAAAAAAAATTAAATCTATTTCTTAAGCTGTTTTATATTATGTAATATTTGAATTTTATTTCATTCAACATTTCTTTAATATAGTTACTTTATTTATATGCTAAAGTTAATTATTTTAATGTATTTTGTATTTTTTTAAATTTGTAATATATAGTGTGAATATGCTCTATGAACTCTATTATAAGTGTTCCTAATTGAGACAGATTGTAGTATTTCTCAATATATGAACTCTATTATAAGTGTCCTTAATTGAGACAGATTGTAATATTTCTCAATAAACAAGTTGAAAAAAAGAATTCTAACAAGTGGCAAGCACCCCTGAAGATCGGTCAGTGACCCCAACGGGTGCCCCTCTAGGTCGGCGTCCCCTTAAGTCTGGCTTTGTGTTTGTACTAATATATATTAGTTTAAAAAAATGAAAACTTCTACCCAATTTTTCACATTACCCCATTTCAATGCCTAGCTATCTGGCTTAATATATTTTAAATCAACAGATTGGGAATGGTAGGCACAGTATATTTTCCTTAAAATAGCAAATGCTTTAACACTCAAACCTTCTCCTGCTAAGAGTACTCTTTTTTGACAATGGCTCTAGATTCTCATATGTTTTAGAGAATTTCAAATAAAGGTGATGGTGTAACATGAAACTTTTTGGATTTAAAAATACATAAATAAATCAATCAAACCAAAAAATAAGTTGTTTCAATGTTTAAAAATCAATAATAAAAGGTCATTAAATTAGTACTACAGGAAATCAATAAAAACCATTAATGTTTTTATGCCAATGTATCGGAAACATAAATGTTTGACTTTCAATGGTTTTTAGCATCGATACATTGATATTTTAAATCATCACAAGCCATGCCCTGTGGGATTCAGTGGAGGTCTTAATTTGGCGCCCTGACCAAAATGTTCACCTTTTAAACTTTTTCCAGCTGCTAGTAACAGATAGTAGGGGTTCTTTTCAAAATCAAATTTAACATTTTCTACTTCAGATATTACTTCTGCTGAAACTTTACAATCAATGTCACCATCTGTGTATTTTCCATGAATCAGTGATATTCCTACTTGTTCCTGTAAGACAAATTAAATATAAGATTATGGAAAAATAAGACAATTCAAATATATAATACAGAATATAATAATATATTAAAGGAACTCTTGAGAAACATAAACTTTTGAGAAGTAGTGTGTTATCGAAGGCCTCGAAAGTGAGAATTTATAAGACTATCATCCGACCAGTTCTTACATATGACTCAGAATGTTGGACTACAACTAAAGCCCTTGAGCATCTCCTTCTCCGTTTTGAAAGAAAAGTGCATCGCCGTACATATGGTGGTATATATGAGGAGGGCACATGGAGAAGAACGAATGCTGAGTTAAGAGCGAGGTACAAGGAAATATACGTATCAACATTCGTGAAGGAATCAAGACTTCGCTGGGCTGGTCACGTCATAAGGATGGATCCAAACGAAGTTCCTTACAAGATCTTAGCTGGACAAATGGATGCCCCAGGCTTCGCTGGGAAGACTGCATGGCTGCAGACGCGAGATCTCTGCTCGGTGTTATGAAATGGAAGGCAGCAGCACGAAACAGGGAGGACTGGCGGTCTAATCTTGAGCAGGCTATGACTCAACTACTGGGTTGTAACACCGAATAAGAAGAAGAAGATTAATGGAAATAGAATAAAGAACTGGGTATACACAACATTGAAAAGCTTTTTTTTTATTAAAGAAAATTGTGAAATATCTAAATACATTTTTTTAAGGTTTTATATAATTTGATTTTAAATAATATGCATGATTTTCAAATTACACAATTTTTAATGTAATTTATATTTTTATTTTACACTTCATTACAATTGTATTTGTAAAAGTTAATTTACACACATATATATATGTATTTACACATTGTTTTCTAAATCTTGTACACCATTTTTCAACAATTTATTTTATGTTTCATACAATTTAAAAGCATAAATTTTACTTAACGTTTTATAATATACTTGAGAATGGGGTAGCTCAGTGGTAGGGTACTGAGCTTCCAATACTAAAGGTCCCAGGTTTGAACCCCAGCTCATAGAAGAAAATTTATTTATCTGTTTCATTGGCTGTGGGGCGACCCTGATCGGGGATCCTCCTGGCGCACACCCAGCCTCTATAAAGTGGGTATCCTTAACCTTAATTAAATAATTGATTAAATGGGGGAAAACCTGGCAGTTGAGCGTGATCTCGGTCAAATCACCTCCTTGCACAACCGTTGACCTAGAAACAGTGCTTTCCCTAAATAGTACTGAACCCAAGACCCTTCATGGATTGTAATGGTACAGGTTTTTTTTTTTTTTTTTTCATATTTTAGGCAATAAAACTTCCAATTTTCTTCATATTTTTTTATTTATGCTTGTTGTCTCTTACGTTTCGGGGCAATTTTCCCATCATCAGAGTAATATTTTTATTTTTACATTCTTTTTTTTGTTTTTTTTTGATCTGGCACCATTTGTCAAAAATTAAATATTTGCCACATTTTTTAAAAATTATTTGGTGTTACACATATTCATTGATACATTAGTGTAATCTAGTAGAGAACTGGCTCAGGAAATAACTGATACTATAAGGACCCAAGTTTTATGCTCCTTTATCAGAAAGAAATTCCTATTATTTAGCCTTAAAGGTTCTGTAGCCAGAAGAACACCAATTTTTCTATCTCAAACCAAGTGAAAGCAACTTAAGTTTACCAAAGAACACAAAAATTAGATGGAAGGAGAAAGGAAAGCAAATGTTTGGTTTTGGAAGGAGGCAGTATTTTTGAAAAAAAAATATGGAGTGGATTTTTGGAAGAATGTTTGCAACCAACAGATCAGGAGTTGGACACCTCTTTTAATAGATGGAAAACTAGATTAAAATCAGTACCATAGTATTCTTACATACCGTGCAATACCATCTGAGAGAGGGGCCCAAGTTTTATCCTTCACTACACTTTTTTCATAAATACCAGATTATTGTATTATTCAATCCTATTAATTATTGTTGCTATTATTTTTGTTGTGACATCACATGGTGATCTATGATATTTTGAACATCTGTATTGTACAAATGATACTTTTTTTGTAATACTTTTCTTACGATTAATAAAGGTTGTTGTTCTAACTTGTTACAAGAGCACAATGTCTTTTATCTTTATATTCTGTAACCTCAACCCTTAGCCGGTAAGTTTTTGTGTGTGTCTTGTCTCATATTAGTTGAAGTCACAACATTATTATTTTGGCGATGAGGATGACGAGTTTACCGCCCCCAAAGATTTTTATTCCAGGTGAAAGTGTCTGGAATCACTTTTTGGAGCGGTTAGAAAATACTTTTCTGTATTGCGGAGTGACCAGTGAGGAAGTAAAGAAAGCTTATCTTCTAGCAGCACTTAATGATGAAGTTCTCTCTCTTCTTCACAGCCTGTGCCTGCCCACCAAGGTAGCTACCACAAATTTCAAATATTTAGTTGAACTTCTCACTAATCATTTCACACCTGTAAAATCTTGTTTTGCTGCCAGAAAATAATTCTACTCTTTAAGACAGAATTCGGGAGAGACAGTGGTTGAATTTTCGGCAAGAATCAGGAAGAACGCATCAGATTGTCATTTTGGCACTGAACTGGAAGTGGTATGAGGGATATTTTTATTATAGGATTGGATCAGACCAACATAAGGGAAAGATTAATGGGATCAGACCAAGATAAGGGAAAGGTTAATGGAAGAAGACCCTTCAGATAAAAATTTAACCTTTTCGAAAGCACTTACCCTAGCCGCTGCGAAGGAAGCCTCTCTTAAATCCACTTCTACATCGCAAATCAAGGTAGAACCATCTGATTCATTTTATATGTCAAGAAAATCATTCCGTTCTCAGGAACCGTACCAGAAGGTACAGCAGCAGGAGAAATGTGAGGTATGCGGTCGGAAAAACCACTCTACTAAAAACTGTAAGTACGAAGCCTATTCTTGCCATAAATGTCATAAAAAAGGGCATTTGGCCCCGGTGTGCAAAACTAAATTTTTAACAGAAGAAACAACAGAAGAGGTAGTCACCCTATCTGACTCATTCTTTAATTTTCCAACTTGCCATCAAAATGATTTTACGATGGACTTAAATATATTTGGGCAAATTTATACATTCAAAATTGACACTGGGTCATTTTACAACATTATAGCTGAAAACTTTTATATAGAAAACTTTAAGAAGGTCCCTCTTTGTGAAAATTATGTCAAATTATGTGATTATGTAGGACACAAAATCTACCCCATTGGGAAAATCAAATTATTTGCTGAAAAGGATTCCAAATTTCATGAATTAGAATTCCATGTTATTCCAAATGGAGGCCCTCCACTGATAGGCAGACAAGGTTTTAAAATTTTGAAGTCTGCTTATGCTGAACAAATTTTATTTGTGGATCCTCACATTAAGAACATATCTAGTGATATTTCTAACATTATTAATTTATACCCTAAGATATTTCAGTCTTCCTTAGGTACATTTTCCAACTATACAATTACCTTGCAACTTAAAGAGGGGACCGAGCCTAAATTTTTCAAAGCAAGATCATTACCTATTTTATTGAAGAGTAAAGTGGAAGACGAATTGAACCGACTTCTTGAGCTAGGTATTTTAGAAAAAGTTGAGTGTAGCGAGTGGGCTACTCCAATAGTGCCAGTCCTTAAAAGTGATGGAAGTATTCGCATTTGCGGGGATTATCGCTTTACGATGAATCCAGTCCTATTGAGCAACCAATACCCTCTTCCAAGGCTTGATCATATATGCTCGAATTTTGGCAGAGCTAAATTATTTTCAAAGATTGATTTGAAAGACGCTTATCAGCAACTTCTTTTAGTAGATAACTCAAAACCTTTGACTACAATTAATACCCATATTGGCTTGCTTAGGTATACACGTTTGTGTTTTGGAATCACTAGTGCACCTGGAGAGTTTCAGAAAGTTGTGGACAATCTACTCCGAGGACTCCAGGGAGTGGGATCTTTGCTGGATGACATTTACATCAGCGGTAGGACCAGAGAGGAGCACAACCAATGGCTTGACCAGGTACTCAAAATTCTTAACTCAGCCAACCTGAGAGTTAAATTAAGTAAATGTTCTTTTGGGTGCAATTCTATGGAATATCTGGGGAATAAATTCGATGAGAAAGGATTGCATGCCACAGATAAACATATAAAAGCCATAAAGGATGCTCCACCACCTAACGATGCTACTGCTCTCAAATCGTTCCTCGGACTGGGGACGTTTCACCTAAAATTTATTCCTAATGCTTCTGAAATATTATACCCTTTATACCGTTTAGGAAAAAAAGATTTAAAATTTATCTGGACAAAAAGCTGTCAAATAGCTTTTGAAAAAATTAAAAAGATATTAACTTCTGAACCAGTCTTAGCACATTTTGATCCAAATTTACCATTACAATTGACAGTAGACGCATCAGCCAAAGCAGTGGGAGCAGTTCTTTCGCATATTGATAAAAATAATGAACGCCCGATAGCATATGCTTCTAAAATGTTGACTGATGCCCTACGAAAGTATGCCACCATTGAAAGAGAAGCTTGGGCTATTATATCACACATTTTAAAGATTTTTTATTTCTAAAAGAATTTACCCTTGTGACAGATCAACGGCCTTTACTTTTCATTTTTGGAGAACGAAAAGGCATTCCCATTTATGCTGCTAATCGCCTACAAAAATGGGCATATTTAATTTCAAATTATAATTATAAAATAAAATATATTAAATCTAAAGAAAATCGAGCTGATTATCTGTCAAGAATTGAAGGTAAATGTAGTTTAACTGACCCTGATGACAAAGTTTCATATCTAAATTTCATCTATGAAAACTTGCCTTTTCGAATTAGCTGGCAAACTATCCGCCAAGAAACAAGAACTGATCCAGTACTCTCTCAGGTTATTAGGATTTTGGTGCACGGAGGATCACTTCCTGAGGAAAATGAAAATTTAAAGCCTTACAGGAAACGATTTGACCAGCTGACTGTGGATCACGGATGTGTTATGTGGGGCTACCGTGTTATCATACCCGAAAAATTTCAGAATAAAATTTTGCAACTGCTTCACACAAATCATCTAGGTGCAGTCAAAATGAAGAGTTTTGCTCGAAATTATTTTTGGTGGCCAGCACTGGATAAAGATATTGAGCAGTGTGCCAACTCGTGTGAGACTTGCTGCCATTTTTGACCATCCCCACCTAAAGCAGTTTTACAGCCATATCCGTGGCCTAAAATCCCTTGGACCCGGATCCACATTGATTTTTTGGGACCTATAAATAAGAAAATTTCTTGTTTTGAGGTCATGGATTCAACAACAAAATGGATCGAAGGTTTTCTTGTGTCATCAATGACGGCTGAGACAGCTACGTCTAAGCTCTCAGAACTATTCGCACGTTTTGGGTTACCTCGAGCCTTAACATCTGATGGAGCCAAATGCTTCGTTGGCTCAGAATTTTCAACTTTCTTATATAAATATGGGATTCAACATTTGGTAGGGGCCCCATTCCACCCCCAATCAAATGGTAGTGCTGAGTCAGCTGTCAAAATTTTAAAAAGATGTATTTTGAAGTCTTTAGCTGAGGAGAAAAATCTGTGCCAATCGTTGAATGATTATTTATTACAATACAGGAACACGGAGCATGCGACAACTGGGGAATCTCCAGCAAATCTACTCCTCAAAAAAAAACCAAGAACAATTTTTGACCTTTTGTTGCCATCGACGGAAGAAATTGTGGAGATCCACCAGGAAAAGATGATTAGAAATGGAGGCCAGCGTCGGAAATTATTCTATGTCGAAGAACAAGTTTGGGCAAGAGATTTCCGCACGAACACGCCAAAATGGACCAAAGGATGCGTACAAGACACCCTGGGACCGCAAACCTACCTCATCAAAACAGAAGACAACTTGTTGTGGAAGAGACATCTAAACCAGTTGTGGCCATATCTCCAAGGAAAACATTTGCCTGGTATGGACATAAGCCAGAAGCCAGTCGCCAGTCAAAGATGATACCATTGGCTCTCCAAGACGTTGCGATACAGATACTTTGGAAGGACATGACGAGGATATAGAAAGAAATGAACCAAACCATGGACGGAACTCTAAAGAAGGTCTAAATGAACAAGAGGATCTTAGCCCGGAGGAAATATTAGACACCGGACAAGAGGGTTTCCAAGCGGAAGATCACAGTCTTCATCAAGAACAATTAACACCTTCCCTTCCTAAAAGAACTATTCGTAAACCAGTACGGTATTCACCAGACTGAAGGACATTTGTGTATGACTAAATTTTTCTTCTTATTATTTTTTTTTAAAGGAACAAAATTTTCTTTTAAGGGGGAAGGAAATGTTGTGACGTCACATGGTGATCTATGATATTTTGAACATCTGTATTGTACAAATCATACTTTTTTTGTAATACTTTTCTTACGATTAATAAAGGTTGTTGTTCTAACTTGTTACAAGAGCACATTTTTTTTTATCTTTATATTCTGCAACCTCAACCCTTAGCCGGTAAGTTTTTATGCGTGTCGTCTCATATTAGTCGAAGTCACAACATTATTATTTTTGTCTCATATTAGTCGAAGTCACAACAATTTTATATCGTTATCATAAGACTTATAAATAGCATTATATATAAACTGTAATATAGGCCCACCATAAGTAGGTAGAAAGTTACAGAAGTCTTTTTTGTTAGGAACAGCCCTCCAGTTGCAGGCAACTCATTAGTGTAGGTATACCCGGTATTAATTTATGCCCCGATAATATTAAAAGACATGGGAGAAGGCCTGCCAGCTTGGTTATCAATCTCGGTGATCGAGCCCTAATTAACTTCACGGAAAAATTATTCAGTTAGGAAATTGGATGTACCGCTGGTATAGGGTTGTCCTAAGGTACAGAGGGGGAAAGAAGAGAAAAAAATGATAGAGAGAGGGAGAGATACACCCAACCCCATCTGCCTTAGTGAATAAATGATTTTAAATAATTAAGAAATAGATCAGTTTCAACTAAAAATAAAATGTTTTCAAGTATGATAGATCTTGAAGTTTACAATAAATCATAAGAAAATAAATTAATCATTATTAAAATGATTGACAGATTTTAATTGGATTCTACTTGATGTGAAAAATTGATATTCAGTCTCGCATATTTACTTCAACACGTTTATTTTGCTTCTGATTAGGTATATTCCAGGACTTGTATGCTTTTACTTCATTACTATTCTGATTAATGCATTCTATAACCATATCTCCTCCCTAAAAAAAAAAAGTAATAAATACAAATAAGTTATATATTTATAAATTTAAACTATATACAGGATGTCCTTAAGTATAGGGAAATATTTAAAAGGATGATGGTTGACATTAAGATCTACAAAAAAGTTCATACAAACAATTGCCCAATTTCCAGCAGAAAAGTGAAAAATTCAAGATTTGTGTGTTTTTAAGTGAGCCACGTTGAATAGGAAGCACCAACTAAAAAAATATGCCTAAAAACACATTTTATTTATAAAAATTAAAAAAGACGATATTTCAAGTATTTTTTTATGTAAAGTGGTTATGAAATAGTGTTTTTCTTCCAGATCTGTGTCATAGGAGTTGATCCGTATTTATAAGTGACAACCTTAATGTTTCTAGCTCTAATATTTACGTTTCCATGAAAACAATTGAGGCAATCAATAGGTTTCTTTATTTTAAACGTCAATTTTAGGACTAGAAACATTAAGGTTGTCACTTATAAATGTGGATCAACTCCTATGACACATATCTGGAAGAAAAACACGATTTCATAACCACCTAACATAAAAAAATTCTTGAAATATCGTCTTTTTTAATTTTTATAAATAAAATGTGTTTTTAGATAATTATTTTTACCACACCTTCGGTACTGGATTTATTGTTAGAGGAAGGGCATGCCAACTGGTCTTAAAATTACACCCATCTCTCCCCATCTATGCTATATCCGCTTAAAGGGAATTTCTTTAACAACTTTTTCATCAACTGTCATGCACCTGCTGAGGTATCACCAGAGGAAGATAAAGATGGCTTCCACAAATATCTTGGGAGAGATTTTGTGGCTTGCCCCGCTAATGTCATTAAGGTAGTTCTAGGAGAATTAAACACACAAGTAGGACAGGAACATATGCACCGGCCTACTACAGGAGCTTACAAACAATTACAATCTACATGAGTTTACAAACAATAATGATCAAAAGGTGATTGACTTTGCAAATTCTCAAGGCTTAGTTGTAGGAAGTACCGTGTCCCCAGGAAAGAGAATACAAAAAGTTACGTGATCACCAAATGGAGCCGTCTCTAATCAGATCAACTATATTCTGAGGTTCTTGACACAAGTCTAACCTCATTGGAGTCAGAACTTACCTTCTTACATATTACTTGCAGATATGGATCATTACCTTAGCATTGCCAGGCATCATGCAAGGATCTCAGCTATGAGGAACAATGTTGGGCTGATACAGAACAAATTCAACATATCCAGGCTAAAGAATGTGGATGTGTGTGGAGCCTATCAGGAGAATCTCAGTGGCATACAAGGGGTGCACAACAATATTACCGTGATAGAAGGAGAAAGAAGAGAGTTGATCGGAGGAAAAAGAGAATGTGGGAGAACAATAGGATGGAAGACATTGAATCCCTCAGAACTTCACAAGAGAGTCAACTCTTTTTTCAACAGGTGAATGAGGAGTGAACTGCATTTAAACCAAGAGTGACACCATGCATGGACGAAGAAGGATGTCTTCTATTCTAACAGATAAACAGAACATGTTGGACTGATGGGCTTCTCACCTCAAGAAGATATTCCAAAAAGTGTGGATGAAGATACTGAAACAGGCAGAGAAGGGGACACACAGGACGACACGGAGCCACCTGATGAAAACAAGGTTGAGGTAGCCATTGAAATTGAAGAATAATAAGGTGCCAGGACAGGATGGCATCCAAGCAGAGCTACTGAGGTATGGTGGACATGACTTTAACAAGGATATCAAAATCTCATCCTTTCTATATGGCAAAAAGAAAGAATGCCTGAGGAGTGGACAAAAGGTATTATCTGCCTGCTCTACATGAAGAGAGATCAGCTGGAATGCAGCAACTACCGGGGTATTGTTCTTCTCTCATCTGCTTATAAAGTACTTTCAAATATCCTCTTTGAGAAATTGGTTCTCAACACGGATAGAGAGATCAGGAAGTATCAGGCAGGATTTAAAAGGGGAAGAGCCACAATGGACCAACTATTTACATTGAGATTGATGTTAGAAAAATGCAAAGAGTATAAAATCGTAACCCATCATCTCTTGGTCGATTTCAAATCCGCATATGACAGCATTCCTCGAAATGAACTTCACCAGGCCCTAAAAGTAATGAACGACCTGATGAAATTAGTGAGACAGGTTAAGATGACAATGACAAGCTCAAAGTGTGTGTGGGCGTAGATCTTTCTGATCCCTTTCTCACAAATTGTGGTGTTAGGCAGGGAGACGCTTTGGTCTGCCTCATTTTTAATTTTGTAGAGGAGAAAGGGGTAAGGAATTCTGGAATCCAACTCTGATCAACACTGTTTAACAGCACAATCCAGCTTCTGGGATACGTGGATGATTTTGATATTGCTGCCAGATTGGAATAGACACTACGAGAATCATTCCTGGCTCTGGAAGATGCTTCTAGGGATCTTGGCCTAGTTGCTAATGAGGCCAAGATGAAATAAACGCGGATTGGAGAAGCTGAACCAGAAGTTGGATATTTTGATGCAGGAGAGTACCGTTTTCATAAGGTAAGCAGCTTCACCTATTTGGGTTCAGAAATCAAATCCCAAAATGACATTACTCAGGAAGTAAACAGGAGGATTGCAGCAGCTAACCGTTGCTACTTTGGCGTTGCCAAACATTTTAGAAGTAGAATGCTCTCTAACCGGACCAACATCAAGCTCTAACGAAGGTGGATGAGTCCAGGCTTCTTTTATTTGAGAGGAGCATTCCTAGATGGATTTTCAGTCCTGTCAGACAGGACGATGTCTGGAGAAGAAGGAGGAACATTGAGCTAATGAAACACTGCAACGATGCTGACATAGTCAAGTTAGTGAAACTCGAATGACTTCGATAGGCAGGGCACGTGCAAAGGATGGCTGCCAACAAGATTCCAAAAATAATCCTTACCGAAGATGGACTCAGTCTCTGCAGACGTGCAGGCCCTGCTTGGAGTCCGAAACTGAAGAGCTTCAGCCAAATGACCAAATAAACTGGTGGAGACTTTCTGAGGAGGCTCAGTCTCCGTGAAGAGATGTCGCGTCACTTATGTATGTATGTATGTAAACATTTTTCCCTCCACAATATTACTTGTTAATTTAACAAAATATACGCTTATACTCTTTAGTATGAAAAGACCCTGCAGTACCTTAATATTTTTATAAAGATATTCAATTTTATGCCCATTGGTTATTATGTATATTCATAATCAAATATAATATATAAAATAATATATATTTATTAATCAAAAGACGTAAATCACTTAAAAAAATCATAAATCTTGAATTTCCTTTTTTTCTGAATTGGGCAATTGTTAATTAGTAGATCTTGATAAAACTTGTTGGTAGATCTTATTGTCTACAATCAGCCTTTTAAATATTTCCCACTACTTACAGGACACCCTGTATAAATTGTAAATATTTATATATATAATATATGTATGTATGTGCATGTGTATATGTATATGTATATGTATATATATATATATATATATATATATATATATATATATATATTTATATCAGTACATATACATGCATAGATATATATATTTATATCCATACATATACATGCATAGATATATTTATATTTCTCTACTTTATAGACAACTCCTTGTACATTAACCATAAAAACGCAGTGTATCTTTCATCGCTTTCAAATTCACTACACCACAGGACATATTTACAAATACTAATCAAATACACGCCTTCTTGGATGTATTTAATACTTTAACCAATAAACACAACTACCACTAGTAATAATTTATGGTAGGACCTTTTCTTATCTCTTACTAGCCTTATATATATATACACACACACACACATATATATATATATATATATATATATATATATATATATATATATATATATATATATACTCTTACTAGAGTTTATGTTTATCTCTTACTAACTTGCATTTTTTTCGAAAAAAAGACCGGCAATTAATTTTACAACCTCCTTAGTCCTTTTTCACCTGTCTGTTTCTAGAGCCATACTTTTATCGTACTGACATCAGACTGCTATTCTCGTTACTGTTTCCTGCAGTGCCAGATGGAATGGTGTGTTTGACTTTTATTATTAGTTTTAGTCTTAATATACCTCCCAACTATTACCCTTAATAAACTCCAGATATCCTAATAATCCATCACTACTATAAAACAGAACTGAATGTCAATTGCCATTTATCTATACTGAAACATTCTACATTATCATGTAAATGTTTTACATATACAAACTTTATTTACATGTGAAATTCTGCTTATTATTTTTTATTAGATTAATAAATACATTACACAGGTAATATAGAATCTAGTCTTGTCAATTATATATAAAATATATTTTATTTCAAACCATACTGTAATTGTACCACATCACTTATGATATCTTGAGATTTCTACAATTACTTTCTCTAATAAGTTGTACTATTTTAATATCAACAAATATTTTATTTATCATTTAGGGTACCCTATAACAATTAACATATATTGTTTTTATCTTTTTAACGCTGAAAAAGACAACATAGGTCGAAACGTTGGATACTTACTCCCCAGCTCTATAGGTCTTAGTGACTCTTCGCCTTCCGGACTATATCCCTCTATCCGTCATGGTCCTTGGCAGTGCTTCCCCAATTCATGACACCTAACTTTTCAGCATATCTCGCCACCTCATCCTTCCAATGGCTCCTCGGTCTGTCTCTTTCTCTCTTATTTTCAATGATTGCCATATCTTCTTCTGAACCCTCTCTTCATTCATTCTGGAAACATGACCTGCACATAGCAGCCTACCTGCTTTTATATAATTAACTATATCTTGTTTTTTCAGAATGGCTGCAATTTCTGTATTGCTCTTGATCCTTCACTTTCTACCAATCTGTTCAGTCCCATATATCCTTCTTATAATTTGACTCTCAAAAACTCAGTTTTTGACAGTCTGCGTAGATGGTAGGACACAGGTTTCCAACCCGTAGGTGACAACCGTCTTAATCAGAGTATTATACAGCTTTAGTTTGGTCTTTCTAGAAAGAATCTTTGATTTGAGGAGTTTCAGGTTCCCATAACATGCCCTATTTCCAGCTATTATTCTGTTTCGTATTTCATGGCTAATCTTGTTTTCTATATTTATCGAGGAGCCTAAGTAACTGAAGCTGGTAATGCTTTCAAACTCATAATTGAGAAGGACGACACTGTTGTTTCTTTGGTTATTTGTGGCTTTTAATAGCATATATTTTGTTTTTACTTTATTTTGGGTGAGCCCAATCCTGCTACCTCTTTTTATAATAATTTTGAAGGTTTCCTTTTGTGCTGCTTCGCTTCTGGCCATAATAACCAAATCATCTGCATATGCACAAATTATTGGATAGCATTCCAGTTTTAATTGCATCTTTAACTGCCGAATTCTTTTCGCACTATCAAATGCTTGTTTATAGTCTATAAAAAGAAAGTGAAGGTCCAAATTATTTTCATACAAAAGTTCCATAGTTTATATTCTTATTAATCTTATATTCCCCATTATATTACTAACTTTATATTCCCATCCTCTTGGAAAACTGCCATAGTCCGACCTTTAAATAAAATTCCCAACCCTACCTCACTGCATGATTTCCGTCCTATTTCTCTCCTATCCAACCTTTCAAAGCCGTTAGAACGTCTTGTCCAAAATCAACTCACCAACTTCCTAGAAGAACGTTCCCTTATCAACCCATTCCAATCTGGCTTTCGACCTGGCTACTCAACGCAATCCGCTCTCTTTAAAATAACTCATGACCTCCAAAACTCCATTGAACACTAAAACCTTACCATCCACATCCTTCTAGATTTTGCCAAAGCGTTCGACACAGTTGACCATAATATCCTCCTTACGAAATTGCACAATCTTCCTCTATCCAACAGTGCCCTGTGTTGGCTCAAATCCTTCCTTTCAAATTGGTCCCAGTATGTAGTCGTCCCAGGTCAACTTCCATCTAAGACCCTCCCCCTCTCCTGTGATGTCCCTCAAGGTTCCTCTTTATCTCCTTCTCTGTTTGTTATTTACATTAATGACCTCCTGATCCGTCACTCAGATATTGAAAATATTGTTTTATTTCAGAGCCAGTAAATCTCCATTTGCTGACATTTTAAGTGATTATGTTAAGGCAGAGAAACAGGGTTTGGAGCATGGAGAGTGTTTTCCATATTACAAAAAGTGTCCTAAATCACTTTTTTTAGCCTCAAACAACAATCCATATGTGTAAGTTACTGTTCAATTTTTTTTTATATTTACAAACAAAATTGTATATATACAATCAAGTAACTCATTAGAAAATAATAAAATATCTAATAATTTTATGTTATCTTATATCATACATTAAAAAAAAAGAAAAGAATAATCTGTTATATGAAAATGTATGAAGAAATCTTTTAATTTAACTTTTTTTTCCCGACTTATAAGGAAAGACATACAGTACATTTCACTGTTATTGTGTAAACATAAGAATTATATTAATTTTTTCAAAATAATAGATAACCATCGCATTAGAAGCCATGATGGTTGAATGGAGCAGCTGCTGCCCCTTACTCCATAAAAAAAATAAAATAAAATCAATAAATATAAACAAGAAATTTATAGAAAATTTATTTATAGAGACAGGCAAATTACTAATAACTCAACATTTTGTAAAAAAAAATATTATAAAAAAACGACATCCTATGTTTGAAAGAACTTAAACTTATTCTTACTATGTTTAAGTTTTTTTTTTTTTTATTCATTGATATTTACAACTGTATTATAAAAAAAAATATATAACTAGTAAATGTGCACTCAGGAATATAATAACATGAAATCTCTTGTTGAGAAACTACCCACTGATAGCACTCAAATAATAAATTTACACAAGAAGATCACGAGACCACCTTCTTTTCAGATGCCTCGGAGGATTATCAGGGATCGAGGAGGAAGCAAGGTTTGAAATGAGAGGATTCAGATGGTTCTGCAGTTTGTTATGGAAGGATAGGTATCTGGATTGGGCCAAATCGGAAACATTTGGAACATTAAGGTCTTTATGGATGATTTTATTTATGGCGAAGTAAGGAGCTTTGAGAATTTTTACGAAAGATTTTGGATTGTAAGGATTGAATATGAGAGGAATTCAATGGTTTAGTGGAGCCCCAAAGCTCAATTTCGTAAGTCTAAACAGGTCTTATTATTGTCATATATATGAGTTGTTTGTAAATGATTGAAAGCTTAGAGCGTTTGTCTAGTAGGTGTTGGAGTAGTCGGAAACGTCGAGTGGTTTCTTGTCATTTCAATCTTTTATGAGGATTCCATGTGAGTCGTTTGTCCAGGTGGAGTCCTAGGTAACGGATTTGTTCAATTGGGATAAGTGTGGAATTATTAAAGGATACTGTAGGACAGGAGGTCATAGGTTTGCGATGCTGGGTAAAGGTAGTTTGATGGGATTTATTGGAATTGATTTTAATTCTCCAGTTGTTACACCATTCTTCAAGGTTTGTGACATGGGATTGGAGAGTTTGGGATGCAGTTGATGGATCATTATTAACAGATAGGATACATATGTTATCAGCATATGTGGTGATGACAATGTCAGGATGGGTTGAGATGTCAGCTGTATAAACTGTGTAAAGGATAGGACCAAGGATACTACCTTGAGGAATATTTTTAAATAAAAAATATTTTAGAGTTCTTATATGAAACAATATTAACCATTTTGTTATCTTCAGAAAAACCAATAGCTACATAGTGGCTGTCTTTGCCATACATTTCAAATATATACTGATCTCCTTCATATGAGATCGCAACTAAAGCATCACATTTTTCACTGGTAATACAATCAGCTGGATGTCCTATGCATTTTTTATTAGTTCCACAGCCATTAAGGAAGTCCTTAAAACAATATAAATATAATGAAGTTAATATTTAAATAAATTAAATAACTTATTTTTATTATGATAAGAAAAAAAAAATCTTCAACACTAATGTACATTTTTAAAGAGTATAACTTATAAAAATAATTAAGGTAAAACCAATAAATATGGATAAATGGAAACTGAATAATTGTATTACATATGAGTGGCTTCATATCAAAGATGGCCATCTGTCATATTCAGAAAGAGGTGAAAAAGTCAATTTTTGTTTTATAGGTTCAATTCAAACTGTTTCTGATAATTTTATTTAAGAATGTTCAAATCGAATCGGGAAAAAAAAATCATTAGAATTGGTTTAAATTTAAGCTATGTAACAAAAATTGGCTTTTACTCAACTTTTAAAAATGACGGGCCACTCATATGGTCTTGGAAAGTAAAATAAAATATGAGACGCATGTAATATTGTTACTTATTAAATCATTAATGCAATTTAATTATTGACAAATTTTAACATAGCATACTTAAATAAATCATGCAACATTAAAATAATACATCCAAAGTTTAAAAATATCAAAAATAAGATTATTTTTCAACTTCATCTAAAAATAAAGTTGAGTTACATCTTAAATTATCTCTATTTCAACAATGTTTCAGGATATAAATATAATACAATGAAATTTCTTTCTTAATAGCTACCTTGAGTTTAGATGCAGCTGAAAATGTTTTTTCCGAAGTTGACCTTTTTGAAATAGGAAGGTTTTGGGATATAATTCCAGTCCAGAATGTAGTGAAATTAGCTACAACTGTTCCACTATAAAAACATGAAATAGATGAATAACAACTCACATACACACCCACCCTTTCCCTTTCATAATAGCAATTATTAATATAATAATCAGGTTTCCTTTCATAAGGTAGAGTGTAAAGATAAAAAGTCTAAAATTATGAAATATACAAAAATGAAATGGGATGAGTACAGAGGATCAGTTAAAATTTCAATTGGTGGTATGCATAGTCGACCCTTATACTCCACTATTCCCTTATCGTCACTAAAAGGCTGGTGGTCAAGGGCCACCCCTTCAACTTCCCTTCAAATATAGGGAACATTTCTGGGAGATAGAGGGTCCTTCATCATTCCCAAAACTCCCCTTTACTCCCTCCACTCTCTACAACTTATATTTAACTAATAATGTAATTATAATAATAATAATAAGGCTTAGTGCAAAAAAAGAAGGCATGTTCTTAAAGACACAACAACTACGGATAAATGTCGATTATGCTCAGCGACGCTGGAATCAATCCAACATGACACAGGTGGGTGTGGAGTGTTGGCTGGCACCGAGTATCTCCAGAGGCATAACAATGAGGCTAGAATTTTTCATCAGGCTCTGGCGGTGAAGCTCAACTTATTAGATGACAAAACTCCTTATTATAAGTACCACCCAAATAAACTCCTCCAAAAAGGTAGTCTCAAGCTCTACTGGGATGAATCGATAATAACTGACCATACTGTGCGTCACAATAAACCAGACATCCTTCTGATAGACATGAGAGAGAAAAGAGCTGAGCTTATTGATGTCGGGATCCCCAATGATAATAATATAAGCTCCACTGTTGGAGAAAAACTGAGAAAATACCAGGAACTGGCAATCGAACTGAAGGAATTATATCATTTGGGGAACGTCACCACCACTCCAATTATAATATCCTCCAATGGATTGATACCAAAGACAACAGTGGCAGGCACGATGGGATTAAAATTACCTCTTGAAGTGCTGAAAGAGGCTCAACACTCAGTTCTCTTGGATACGGCACGTATTGTTCGAAAGTTTTTAAATATCTAAAAAGTAATAGATATTAATCTGAAGTGGCTGGACTTCTGGTCTCCCACCTCAGAAACTTACCCCGCAAAGCGAGAATAAAGAATGGAAATAATAATAATAATACTTTATTTATTCTGGGACAAGTCCCTTCAGAATAATGAAGAAGGACAGAAATGTGGGCTAAGGAGCCTCAGAGATACATGCTGAGTAATTAAATAGTCATAATAAAAAATTATAAGTTATTATCTAACTTAAATAAGTCAATAATAAAAAATTGAAAATAAAGTAAAAATGATGAAGAATGATCTAATAATTTATATACATATTTACAGTGGTATCTATTTACAATTGTATGGGGACTGGATGGATAAGAAATGATTGAACAGGTGGGATTTAAAGGTAGGGAAGAGCATTGGATTGATGGATGTGGGAAGGGATGGAGTTCCATAGGGATGAGGATCGGATAATGAACGAGCGGTTCAGTGGGCCCTTATGTATAAATCAGAAGACCTGGAACGAGTACTGCGGGAGCGAACAGAGGATTTGAATTGGAGGAGCTAGGAGATGTATGAAGGTCAGTGGGATTGGATGACTTGAAAGAGGAAGGATGCCAGGAAATACTTACGACGGTAGGAAGGATGGAGCCACTTCAGATTCTACATAAAAACGGGAAACAGAGGCGTTCCTTGGGATCCCGAAGATGAATCGTAGAAAGCAATTTATCAAAAGATTTAGTTTCGCCTTGAGATCCCTAGATGCCCCCATATACTGTACAGCAATAGTCAAAGTAGGGAAAAATTAAGGAAGTGACCAGGAGCCTACGGCTTTCAAGAGGAAATAGGTGGCGGAAGTAGTTTAAGCATTTTAAGGTGGAAATGGCATGGCGGGAGATGTTGGATACATGGTTTTTCCAGGAAAGCGTTTGAACAAATGTTATTCAAGGTTTTTGATAGAGGGATAAAATTTGATGGGATTATCATGCAGGAATAGAGTTGGAATATGTGGAACAGTTTTAAGGAGGTGATTGGAGCCAATTAAGATTGCCTTTGTCTTTTCCGCATTCAACTTCAACTTGTTAGCTCTCGCCATTCACAAATCTTATCCAAGTCTTATTGAAGTTTTTCTGTGGCTGATAATAGGTTGGAGGGCAGGAAAGACAGGTATATTTGGAAATCATTAGCATAGATATGGTATTGGGAGTGATGAGGGGGGGGGAAGGTCATTAATGTAAATAGCAAACAGAGAAGGAGATAAGAGAGGAACCTTGAGGGACACCACAGGAGAGGGGGAGGGTCTTAGATGGAAGTTGACCTGGGAAGACTACATACTGGGACCAATTTGAAAGGAAGGATTTGAACCAACACAGGGCACTGTTAGATAGAGGAAGATTGTGCAATTTCGAAAGGAGGATATTATGGTCGGACTACGGCAGTTTTCCAGGAGGATGGGAATATGAAGTTTTGCAATGTAAAGTTTACCCCCACTAAACCCGACGTACTTTATTTTTGCAGTTACCCTCCTGTCTGGCTAACCAATAAAGGTGTTTATTGGCGGGCGTCATAGCTTCACTCACATAAACGCGGTGCGAGTTGTTCTCTTCCCAGCCTAGATGGCGTGTAGAAAAATCTCTCTTTGTTCCTCCCTGCCGCACCAGCTTATCTCTCACCGCTTGTCTGACGAATCTTACAATAATTGAACCTGGAGTCCCTTCTTGCTTGGGCTTGAGTCTCACGGCGTGATCAAGATCATCCGGACTCAACTTGAGGCCCAGACCCGCTCCGACGCTAAGGATGGTGCCAGTTACAGTTTCACCCGGCTTCTCAGGAATTTCTCTAATTTCTATTGAGTTTTTCAGTTGAAATTGTTCTGTGGAATTCAGACGACTTTCCAGCTTGACTATTTTTGTTTTCAACATGCTGTTTTCCACAGTTAATTTTTCAAAATTTTTTTTTTCTCTTCTAGGAGAGTTTCAATTATTAATAACCGGTCCATATTCTCGTAAGATAGTTCCGATCTTCTGGTGGGTTTCTTTTATCTCCTTCAGTTCGTCTATACTCTGAAGTTTGGACTTCATCGGCCAGCGACCTCAGTAGGTCTATCACAGTACTAGGCTCAGAGGCTGGCACTGTACTGATTCGCAATCGGTACATTTCCATTTTTTACTGTTTTCTTTTAGGCCTTCTGAGTCAGTAAAATCTATTTTCATGTTATTATAATTGGGTAAAAATAATAATTACTGTGTTATTATTATTATTTTTGCTATTATTATACTTCTAAAATTATTATTTTTGTTACTATCATACTTCTGCCTAAATAAAGTCTAGTGAAATGAAAATTCTTGTTTCCAACTATTTTCTGAGTATTTTAGAGGGAGGTTAAAAGCTAAAAAAGAAAAATTGTATTGATAACTTTATTTTCTCCACTCCACTTCATAGAATTAGTTTGATATTAGCCAGATAATGATATTATAACTGCTTCTATTTTTCTTAAAAATTGGCACGAAAACTTGTCAAATATCGATTAAACTTCGAGTAAATAAAGCAGGTAACTGGACTGTTCAAATACATAATAAACTATTGTATCTTTTTTTTATATTCTTATTATAAACTATAAAATAGTTTTTATATTCTTATTATAAAATATAAAATAGTTTTTATATTCTTATTATAAAATATAAAATAGTTTTTATATTCTTATTATAAAATATAAAATAGTTTTTATATTCTTATTATAAGAATATAAAATAGTTTTTATATTCTTATTATAAAATAGTGTCCCGGGCATGACGTTAAACTGCGACCTGGGTGGACAGGACTCTTAGCCATAGTGAAGGCAACCTGTCTAGGGGAAGGAAACCTCAAAATCAAACCACTGTCCTTGCAGTTTAAAAAAGGTTGATCGTAGGTCCAGCACCCCTTCATCAGAAATCATCATCGCTTTCAAACCCAAAACAGAAAGAAAACCGGACGGATCTAATCGGCAACGATTTAAGGTGCGGAAACGGAACATGTTTTTTGGTAGGTGGAATGTCCAAGGTTTGAGAACCAAGAAAAACGAGGTGGAAAATGAACTTAAAAAGCCAAATATCGATGTGGCAGTCCTCAGTGAAACTAAAATCAAAGGAAGTTACAATGAACTTTCAGGAGATTTCGTGTATATCTACAGTGGAGTGGAAAAAAGTGAGAGAGCAAGAGCAGGGGTTGCAATTGTAATTAACAAAAGATTGCGCAGGTATATTAAAATTATGAATGTGTAAATGAAAGGATAATTAAACTTGAAATGGCATTATTTGGAGAAGAGCTTGTTATTTTTGGAATCTATGAGCCAACTGAAGATTCCAAGCAATCCATAAAAGATACGTTTTTCGATGATGTTTGCGACTTGATAGAGCGAATACCTGACCGTAAGATTGTTATCTGTTTGGGCAAATTCAACAGACCCGTTGGCAGCAAGTTCAACGATGAAACCGTGGGGCGCTTTTGAGAAGAGGTAACTAACGATAACGGTGCAAGATTAATAAGTTTATGTGAGCAATTAAACATGAAAATATTAAATGGATTTTTCAAACATAAAGAAATTCACAAATTCTCCTAGCACCAGCCCACTAAAGGTCTAAAATCAATCAAAGATTATATAATCCTCAGGCGCACCACTAGGATAAAGGTGAACGATGTTAGAGTAATGAGAGGACCGGAATGTGGTTCAGATCACTTTCTTTTAAAGAATATTCTGAATTTTAAACCTCATAATCTTCTTAGAAACTCTCTAGGGGCTAGAAGAAATTCAGACTCTCCGAAAACAATTCAATACTGAATTGATAGTATGACAAATCAAGAATCAGTAAAAGGACTGTCCCAAAGCTGACTGATGGAGAAATTGAATTATGAGAAAGGTTTGAAAGATCAACTATATTACGAGAATATAGTAAAGTGCCTACATGCCACAGCTTTAGAAGCTGTTGGAGAGGAAAGGAAAGAGGTTAGAGGAA